ACTAGCTGTCAACATGGCTTTGTGAAAGGAAAAATCATGCAAAAATGGTAATTTTACTAGCTGTCAACATGGCTTTGTGAAAGGATAAATCATGCAAAAATGGTAATTTTACTAGCTGTCAACATGGCTTTGTGAAAGGAAAAATCATGCAAAAATGGTAATTTTACTAGCTGTCAACATGGCTTTGTGAAAGGAAAAATCATGCAAAAATGGTAATTTTACTAGCTGTCAACATGGCTTTGTGAAAGGAAAAATCATGCAAAAATGGTAATTTTACTAGCTGTCAACATGGCTTTGTGAAAGGAAAAATCATGCAAAAATGGTAATTTTACTAGCTGTCAACATGGCTTTGTGAAAGGAAAAATCATGCAAAAATGGTAATTTTACTAGCTGTCAACATGGCTTTGTGAAAGGAAAAATCATGCAAAAATGGTAATTTTACTAGCTGTCAACATGGCTTTGTGAAAGGAAAAATCATGCAAAAATGGTAATTTTACTAGCTGTCAACATGGCTTTGTGAAAGGAAAAATCATGTGTAACACAACTTATAAAGGTCATGTATGTGTACCACAATGAACATACTGCAGATATTTGGAACAGTCTATTGGAAGAAATGATATCTGCAAAAAGTCGAAATCCTTCAAATTGTAGCTACACCTACATGTTCTATTGTTACCCGATCTGACACCTGATCATACAAGGATACGCCTCCAGAAGCCTAAAGGGCTTATATTGGTGTTTATATGACAAAATTGATCTGTAGAGAGTGTATGATGTCATTTCATTACCTTTCAATGACAACACATGAGGTCATATACCATGAGTTCATGCACCAAACAACCACCAAATCTTGCGATAAAATCAGAAATTAAAAATTGTTTATGATAGACAAAATTAATAAACCTTGCATAAAATGTTAAATGAACAAATGAAATGAGTATACTAGAAATTTGTTGGTAGACTTGAAATATTCTCCCTTATAAAAGTTTGTATATATTATAAAGCAACGACAAAATAAATTGTCTGGATCAGAGTTACTTCCCTTGTTAAGATAATTATCTTTCATTTTTATGCTAAATCCCAATATCCAGATAAAAAGTCTTGTTAACATGAAACACTGGTAGTTTTGGTAAAGATTTTACATTTGATTCCTCTTGATTTTGTTTTCATGCATCAAATTTGTTTTCAATTTGAGATTTCTGGACAAATTCTTTAAAACCAACTGCAAAATGATTAGCACATAAATGTACATGTATATAGAGATACAGATGTTAGGTAATATTTTGACTGAGCAGTGTAATAAGTTCCCCTTCTGTGTATCCATCAGCAGGGCTTTTGATTATACCACCCATAAGTTGAGTCATTCATGTGTGTATATCCTGATATGATGCATTCAAAACAGGAAGCAAAAGAGAAAACTAATGGGGTTCCAAAAGGAGGAAAACGGAAAACTTGTCGGGTTCCAACTGACAGGAACAAGAAGACTTACAGGGATCCAATCAGAAGAAAAGGAAAATATTACAGGGTTCCGACAAAAAGAAAACAAAAAACTTTTTATGAGGAAAGTGAAAAATGTATCAGCCATTCCAGTAGTACAACATGAGAAAACTCTGAAAAGTTTCGACAAGAAAAGAAATGTGAAAAAAAAGAATGAAGAAAAAGGGAAAAATTAGGGGTCAAAGAAGGAAGAAATAGGAAACTTAAGGATCTCGAAAAGAAGGAAAGGTTGGAGGGTTTTATCAAGAAGGCAATTTCAATAAGGAATAAGGGAAATTTGCACCAATTTTAAGGAAGGAAAGATGGGGAGAGTTACACAAACGAAAATTTTGTTTAAGCCATGAAAAGAACAAATTCATGAAGTTTTATGACGGGAATGTAAACTTGGTACATTGTAAATATTCATAGTTGATATTAGGAGCTCTTAAAAAAATGTTTTTGAAAAAAGGGAGGACACAGGCTCATAAGGTTCTTGGAAAGGAATTAGGAAAGAGGAATATTTAGGTCTTTACATGTATAAGTAATAACAATACAGGTATGTAATCATACAGGTATGTAACAATACAGGTATGTAAAAATACTCAATTCAGTCATCTATGATAAAAAGTACCCTACATGTATTTTGTATAATTCATACATTTCTGCCACACCCAGCCACATCCAATAAATCTATTACATATAATAAGTACCGGTACATGAAAAATTAATGATTTTCCTTCTCCACTTCAGACTATGTCCACTTAGATTGTAATTAAATCTAGCAGAATCTGACGATGGATTTAATGTCAGATACAAAGTCGAGTGATTATGGCTGCCAGGTGAAGTGGGTGCATGTTCCTAATCAATGATTCTGATATATGCAGGATATCTGTAGAATTTCTTGTCATTAGTATTGACTAAACTCTGTGTTATATATGTTTATTCACTAGCTGTATGCGTTTTAGGATGCAGCACAACACATGCCTGACTTTGATGTCATCCAGTTGATATGTCTATAGGTAGACATGTATCATGACCTCGCGGCCAGGTTGGATGAGCTGTGTACCTGTACAGCATTATCGTCATGTTTAATGCATATCTAAAGATTTTTTTTGCTGGTTAACAGACCTGAAATATTCCTGACTACAGCATTATTTTGTGTTTTTGCAAAAACATACTTGAAACATTATTTAACAAGGCCTTGTCTCTCATACATAATAACCGTTTTAAACCTGCAAGCAATTTCACTGATAAATAACTTGGGGCTGGGTCCGGGGCTGGGGCCAGGGCTTGGGCCGGGGCCGGGGAGATTGGGGAGTGATTAAGATTGTGATTGAAGCTGGGGGTGGTAGTGTGGCTGGGGTTGGGGGTTACAGAATAGTTAGGGTTATATGTGTAACTAGCACTATAAAGTGACAGCAAACTGGTGTGACAGTGGAACTGGGGGTAACAGTGATGCTGAGGCTGGGAGTGACAGTAAGTCACATTATGGCTTTGGTTCAGCCATGAGTGACAGTGTTGTTGGGGTTGGAGGGGGAGACTTTGTGCTGGAGTTGAGGTGACAGACTGACTGGGGATGAGGATGACAGTGTGGCAGGTTAGAGATGACAGAGTGACTAGGTATTAGTGGTGACAGTGTGGCATTGGCTGGGATTACAGTGTGGCATTGGCTAGGGTTACAGTGTGGCATTGGCTAGGGTTACAATGTTGCATTGGCTGGGATTACAGTGTGCCATTGGCTGGGGTTACAGTGTGGCATTGGCTGGGGTTACAGTGTTGCTTTGGCTGGGATTACAGTGTGGTATTGGCTGGGGTTACAGTGTGGCTGCAGATGAGTGATGCTGAGGCTGATTGATGGTGACAGTCAGGCTGCAGGTTACATATTGATACTGGGGCTGGGGTGATAATATGGCTTAGGCTGTGGCTGGAACTGGAGAGTGATGGTGTGGCTGAAGACGGGACTGACAGTGAGGCTAGGGGGCGACAACTGGCAAGGGGCTGAGAGTGGGAATGACAGCTACAATGAAACTTGGAGTAGGAATCAAGAATGATCCTTGGACTGGGGTGGGGATGGGGGATAAGGGTTGGTGGGTGAGTCTGGGGCTGAATGTGACAGTGTGGCTGATGCTGAGGGGTGACCATACAGCTTAGGAGGGCTTCATTAGATTTTGATCAATTGAATTAAACTTCATTTAATTTACAATAATTGTGAAACAAGTTTTTTCAAACGTAATCACTCTTGTTGACCTTGATGGATGTGTGCAAAAGGTCATACTGTGTGGGGAACCGGAGCACCAGGAAAAAACCTGTTTTGTTGGTCAGGTTATCTCATTCCTTTTCACATCCATTCCAGGAATCAATTTCCCAGACATATAGGTGAAAGCCTAGTGCATTTCCACAGTGCCACCTGATCATGATCAACCCCCACAAGCTTTTACTTCCCCTACAAGCTTTTACTGCAAGGTTTAATTACCTACATATAAGTCCAAAAATACAAATATAATTGCTTTTGATATACCACACAAAATGTGACAAACAAACGAAAAAAAAAAATCAAACATCTTTAATCCCCCCCCCCCCCTCAAAACCAACAAACCAAAGAAAAGTGTGTTGACCTTCAGTATAAATAAAAATAAAAAAACATTGGTTCTCATTCATTCATTTTTAACAAAGATGTCGTATTCCTTTTTAAAAAGTTATATGAATGCTTCAGATATAACAATGATATAATATATTTACATAAAGGTCAAATAAACAACGAATGTTTTATAATAATTTGGAGCAGTACATAATGGCTACGCCCACTGATAATGCACTTGACTTACAACACTCATTGATCTTATCGTGTTTAAACGTCAACACCTCAAGGGATCAGTTACGAGCTATCAACATTGCTAATTGTGGTAATTTCATTAGGTTTGTCTTGAGATAAACGGTGATAACGACACGTGCTCATGTTACCGTCCTCATGTATATCGCTAAATAAACATGACAGCTCAATCACTTTCCCTCGTCGTCTGAAACCATATGTCAACGTGTCTTTCTATACGAAATTATGACAAAACAATGACTCACAATTCACACCCAGGTAAGTGTGTGTGTATCATACACTTATTTGAACACTAACTATACAAACAATTCGAATAACTTACCTTTGTAACCTGTAACAAGATGAAATATATATCACAGCTGATGATGGTTGTTGGTATGTGTGACTTCCGCCATTCTTTGATGATGTCACGTTAATAATTCCGTTAGGTTGATGATAAGCGCACCTGTACAGGTAGGCGAATGTTAATTGTGTTTTATAAAACAATGTGTCGGAACGATATATTTCTCACTAATGGAAATGTTATAAAAAATAGTTCGGTTTACTACACGTGTTTCCATAAATCAAACTACACACACTTCAAATTTCGTGAATATAGCTAATAGACTCTAGGTCAAAGTGGAAAAGTTGAGAGGTCACAATGGGTGTTATTTCCCACAATCCATTGTTGTCAAGGCGCCATATTGGATGTTTTGGTTGGTGAATCGATAGTTTGTCAAGTACGAAAATGGCAGATGCTGCTGTCGAACAGCCGCCTTCAGCAACACAGACACAGGCAGGAAACACATATGTGATTCGTCCAAATTTCCAGCATAAGTAAGTTTGTGATAACATCAAAATTAATGAAAACATAAACATTAAACAAAAAATGAACCGGTTAATGTACTGAAGTAATCACCTGTTCACAACATGCGTCAACAGGTGATGTGCATGAGTGCTGCGGTAGAGTAGGATTTCACATGAAGTATGCTTACAGATAAAATACGTCTCTTCATTACACATTTTTATAAGTTTTATATATTTCTTAGCGGCGTTGAAAGTTCCAAATATCCACTGTAGTTTCTATTAGGCTTAGCAAAGTAGGGTCGAAGGGAAGTAACTCTAATATTTAAAACGATATCCGAGGAAGTTTTGCATTTTTCCAGAAATTATTGGTCATGTTTGAGATATATTATAGAGGTATAGTAGTTTGGTTATGAAAATAATCCTTACATGTATATACACTTATAAAGTACAAAACAAATACATTAATAGTATAGAAATTAAATTGGTATGAATCAAAAATGTTCTCTGATTTCTGACGTGATTTCCATGGTTACCAATTCAAAAACGCTAAAAATGCAAAAAATACTTCTAATTCGAACTTAACACTTCAACTTTATAGAAGAAATTTATTTCTAAACACCTATCTTAAAATCAAAAACACTGTCATGGTTACAAACTACTTACATTTCAGCAAATTTCTACTCAATGTGCCTTCACAACATGACCATGTGTAAACACTAGGAAAATTTCACTTTGTGAAAGGCTAGTGGTGTGTAGACATAGATTCGAGACTGCCCAATTAGTAATCTCCAACACAATTCAAAATATTATTCTGAAATACATGAAAATCCCACACTGTCCACTTCAATATGACAAGACCAATTTTAGCAAGGATTTATTTTTTAGTTCTAATTAAAACCTTTATAATAGAATAATCTAATGAACAAAAATATCATCCATGGTTACATCGAGAAATTGTGTACTGCTACCAGTACATAACTTCTCCTCCAAGGATATGTATGATGTAGGGACTGGAAACCAGGCTCAGTGGAGACTTATCTGGTTGAGATAGGAACGGCTTGGCTTTCAGCTTTCACAATTGAGAACTGATCATTTACCAATTGCAATCAATTTTCTAAATTTAGTACAGAATTGCACTTTTGTAGAAAATAAATGTACATTTAGAGGATCAGGTGTCATAAGGTAGATACCATTCACCATTTGGAATTACGTGTATTGGTATTTTGTATATTTGTGGTCATATTTCTGTACTATTTGATACTGTACACAAATGCCAATTTAACACCTGTAAACTTATTTTATCTCTTAAGTCAATTGTAAACTACCAATGAATATGTTATTAAAACAAAGAATCAACAAGACTACTTCTTGATCAGGTTAAATTACAAAAGTTTTATGACAAAAAGCCAAAATTTTATGAAAATTTCCTGGCATTTTGAATTAATTGCTTTTTCAAAATCATCATAAATGATCAGTATTTTACTCATTTTCTATAGTGTTTGATCCTCAGTCCACTAATATTTTCTGGTGTTAACCATTTTGCTTGCTTCCATATCCTTATACCTTTGTTATCTAATCTTATCAAGTGTCTACTTATAGGACCAACCACTGTTGACCAGCATGACTGGAGCCATTTTTTTGGCCAGTGAAAAGTGAAGCTCATTTTTGTAACAAAAATAATATGAATAAATTACAATGATTTATCATAAAAATTGGAAAGAATGGGAAAGATGTATAGCTTTTCAATGCCGTTGATTTGGAAACAATTTTCCTATTTTAGAGAGAAAGTGGTGTACAATCTTGGCTAAAAGTTCAGTTATTACCAAGAAATCAGTAATATAAATCATGTGTTTAATTTAAGTATTAATAGAAATCATTTGTAACAAGGTATGTTCAGTTTGAAAATGATTCAGCTTTCTACTGCTGTTCATCTTGATAAGATTAGCATTATATATTTTGAGAAAAAAATAGTATAAAAACAAAGTAAACACAAATTTCTTTACCGAAGCTTCACAAAGATATATATAGGCACTATTAGGCAGTCTTCAATCTCTTAGATATGTTCCTGGCAAGGCAAAGCAAAACTAAATGATTAATTAATGGAGCGAGTTTGATCACTTGTAGTTTTGTAATATATAAAGATTAAATACTCATTGGTAGCTTGTAATGTGCATATGTGGTGAAACAAAAAATCAAACAACACAAATCTCAACCGATGATTCCATTTTACTTTGGTCAGACCTGAGCAACTAGTCACTGTCTGGGCATGTGTCTTTGTTACAAAGCATGACAGTGATTGGTTGATGTTTAGTGACAGTTTAGATAGAACAGCCCACATGATCGTTTATGTATGGTTGGTCCAGCTCAGTCTACACATGTGGACAGTGTATGAGCTCTGAATTATGTATCAAGAAAACACATTTTGTTCATATAAAGATTCAAAGTCAATAATTAAATCATTAATCAAAGACAATTTTTCAAAATGAACAAAATAAAGTGATCACTACACCTACTACTTCATATCCACTTAGATAGCACCCCTTTATAGCTACCAAATAATAAAATATGTCTCATTTTAATACTGATCTGAAAAACCAAATAGCCAACAGGTGGCCATCTTGGATTTTGACAGTAATAGATTTTCAGATTTCACATGTAGGTTCCCCTTGTTCTCTAAATGTGCATTGTCTCATGTTGGGAGGATCTGTGGAGATCTTGTTTTGTTTGTTTGTTTTTCTTTTTATAGTAATGATATCATATCTATTTCTAAGCACTGAATGGATCATTTTCATATTTCTGGTGTAGGTTCCCCATGGTCCCTGGTTTTGCCATTTTAATTTTGGAACTGATCAGGAAAACAAAATGGCTGACAGACAACAATCTTAAACTTGACAGTTAAAGATTATTATCGATACTTCTTCTTAGGAATTTTTTGAATTTCATGTAATACAGAGAAAAATCAAATCAAAGGGAAAACTTAAAAATAATATAGCTTTTAAAGACCAAATAAACATCAAACAATGGTGGGCACCAAGATCCCTCATGGATCTCTTCTTTCATAACAGCAAGATTTTTTGTGATGTAACATTAGATTGTCTTTATGATAAAATGATAAGAGTTTCCTTATAATTTGATATTCCATATGATGTAATGATTTATTAAGGCATTAAGAACATTGCTATAATTTCAAAAGCGCAAAATAACTGATATTTTTACATATACAAACTACAAATCTGCTTCATTTAAAGAAAGTATCAAGAATACAGTGCTATTACCCAAATCTAGATTATCTCCCTTACACTGAACTACCATACAGTAAATACTGTGTGTTAAGACCTACTAAACACATCCTGAATCAAACTTAGATAATTAAAACATACATTTTATCAATACCCGCCTAAGTTGCTCTTTTGTTTACTTTGCATTATCAGAGAAAAAAAATCCTTAAAATTTCTATAATATCAAGTGCATATGAACAATGTTTCTTCAGTTTTCTTAACTATAAGTGAAAGTGTTCAAGTATTTCTTATGAGAAAATTTCAAGGAGTTAGGTGTTATCTGATCTCCAAACCTCTAGTATATGGGTAGATCAGATACAAGTGCCTCTACAGCCTAAGGGAAAGCTCAATGACTAACGGCAGTGAATCAACTGCCCCATGGAGAGCACGCCAGCTGTGTCTTACTTGCTCATGTCTAGATGAGCTAGGCACCTGTCACTAAAAAAGGATGTAGAAGGGTTATGGAAGCAAAGAGTTATGGGGATGATTATTAGCTGAGCAACTTGGTTGGAATATTCAACAGCTGTTCTTTATTTAGTGGTTTGGGGAATGCAGTGTAGTATTGGTTTGTCAGGACCTGAAGTAGTTAATTCATATATGCTATCAGTGTCTTCGATTTTCCATTCACTGAGGTCTTATAATCTCCCATCATGTTTATTCACTGTATTAGGTTAACATATTAACAGAGTTTTAGTTATGACTTGGGCTAGAATTACTTAGAAGTACACTCCCAAACATTCAGTTAGTCATCTCAGCCGTAACCTAGACAATCAGAGATGGTCAGTTCTTCCTCATGTTTACCAGCCTGCTTTAAGTTAATTAGGATTGGGAGTGAGGGTGTGTACTTAATGAAAAAAAGTTATAGAATGAATTACCTTTTCATCATCAAAGAAAAAATAAGTCAATTCATCAGTTATATTTAGGGATAAATTTCAATCTAGGGGATTGTTAGCTTACAGGCAAATATCACAATTATTTTTCATTTGTTTGCTAGGTTTCAAATTTTGTGTGTTTGTTGCTGGGTTAATTAGTCATATGGATAGTGAGGGTGATTTTGAGGCTGAGTTTCATTGAAGAAGTATGGTGGCTAACTCACTGAACAACATACAGGAGAGGTCTGTAAGATGTTATTCAGATAGATTAGGGTAATGTGTCTTGCCGAAGGACACAACCACAAAAAACACAGACTAGTCCATTTGTCAGCTTCTTGAGAAACACCAACTACCACGGGCGGGGAGCATCAAAACACACACCTCAGATTTTTTTCTGAGGTTAAATATACCAATGCTGTCCCAATAGATCATGAGGTATCACCTTTGAATGTGTTTGTGATAAAGACATAGCCAGATCTTACTATGTCTGTTGTACCTTAGAACATGCTAGAGAAATATTTGTATTGACATCGTATCATATTTCAAACCAGAGATTTCCTTCCGGTAGTTAATTATGAGAGTCATCGCTGAAATCCAAATTTGGAATTGTAGCATAGATTAGAATCAGACCAAAAAAAAACTGTTTTATGATTTTAATCACTCTATACCTAGTATAGACGTTTATTTTACAATAATCACAGAATAAGCTAATAGCTTATTTACCGGTAAATGACTCGTGTTGGCCCAGATGGAAGTACGACAGGACTTACTATGGAAGGAAACTGGAGTTTCCAGGGGAAACCCATGTGGTCAGACAGGTGACCCCATACCTATCCATATCTGTTCCAGGAATTAAACCCAGGACATCTAGGTGAAAAACGAGTGTATTACCATTGCACCATAAGATAACCCATTAATTATCATGTAATGTAAGTTATTGAGGAAAATACATGTTCATGTAAATGTATATATCTTAGGATATTAAGAATTAATCTTCTTGTGTGAATCGTGTGATGTCAGGTAGGTAGAAGCCATTTTCTATTGTCATATTAACATATGTAGGTACTCACAAGTTTTTTACATCAATAAATATAGTGTTATGTAGGCACTCCCAGGTATTTACTTGAATAAATATAATGATGCGTAGGTACCTCCAAGTTGTTACTTGAATAAATATAATGTTATGTACGTACCGCCCAAGTTCTTACTTGAATTACTATAAAACAGAGAGCAGGATGTAAAATTTTACCGAACAGATCCAGAAAGTTGTAGTAAACCCAGTGTTATTTGTATGAACATGTCAACCACAGTGCTTTATTACATAATCTATGGTGATAACAAAACTAGCCGTCAGTCTGTCTTAATGTCTACTTGTATCTTCATGATAAACTCAGCCTCCGCAGTGCTGCGTAAAATGTTTTAGCATTCCTGGTAGACATGTTTTATCAAATTTACCTCTGGAAGTCTAGAAATTTATTTATCTTTTTTTTTCATTTTTTTTTATTTGGTTTTGGGAAAACCACCAAAGCTTTAATATACAGATAATGATAGCAAGATGGTGTTGTACATATCTCTGCCATGGTTGTAGAAATTCTTTTGATAAGAGGTCTGTTTGTTTGTAAAGGAGGGAAAACCAAGGGATTTAATTCTAATCTTTGATATAAAATGGGATGAACTTTTATAAAATTTTATGGCCAGATAAACTTAGTGTTTTCTGGTGCCTCAAAGTATATCATTCATAATATAGCTTTATTTTAATTGAACAGCTTCTGAACACAGTACACGTAAACCTAACCAGTGAACTTAACTTGTTGTAATATGTAATACTCCATTTCTGCGTGATGATATGGCACTATCATTGATTTTAATGCAGTTACTGCCCCTTCCTGCAATTATGTCTGGTCTTCCCAACTTTCATAAATCTTCAATGCCTCACTTTATTCCACAATTTGCATTCTCACTCCATAAAGCATTGTTAAGAAAGTATCAGACAGCTGCATTAGACAGTGTTTGGTGGCAGCTTTGTTTTGATATATAATGATGAAACTAAGAATTTCAAAAATACTTATAATTAGTGAAAAAAATCAATTATTTAATCTTTGATCATTCAAATGTTTAAAACCAGGATAAACATTAATCAAACAAATGTGTTTACTAAGTCAAGTACAGAAGCTGTTGTGAATTCAAGAGTGTTATCATATTACATAACAGTAGAATGAAGATAATGAAGATTCATATCAGTTTTGTCAGAATGACCACAGAACATTGGAAGATGGAATGAAATGTATGCATGATTCACAATTCATAATTTCCTTAGATTTCATAATTTTAGCATGTTGTATGCTGTCTGCCAAGCAAAACTCACCTCAAAGATTATTATAAAATTGTGTCTGGAAACCTGCTGTGAAGTACTCTGAAGCTTGTAATTATTTAAGTAGTCTACATATGTATGGTGTCTAATGAGATCCAGACAGAATGTACTTCTATAAGTTAGGCCAAGGTTAATGTTTCCAAATTCTTTTCCAGGAAGTATATACTGATATTAAGATGTTTGCCCTCTTTTTGTCCACGAAAGTTATGTCCCTTGTTCATCCTGCATCACTTTATTTGGTATCTTTAAGTTCTTTGAATAAGATTGTGAGTATTGCATTAATCCTGCAATAAGCCCGGGGTCAACAACTATACTTCTTACTGAAAGTTAGAGTGTAGGCTTATTACAAGACAATGAAATAGCATTGGTTGATACTGAACAGCAATGAATGGACTTATTACGTTATGGTATAATGACTTATTGCCAGATGATGATTGTGCCTTAATCATAACCCTTTAATCAAGTCTGGTGCCACACTAAGGAATTTATGGATATATTGCCATCTTTTTCAATATTTCATCATATTGTAGTGAACCTAAAGGAAGCTTGAAATGAATCAAAATTGAAACCAACCCTTTGCCACTTCAAAATATGTAGTCATAAATTGAATACAAAATCAGTGATTGATAAGGATTATACATCATGGAGAAAGTACAGCTCGAGTGAGCAAATAAATAAGTTCAAATTTTTTATTTCAAACATGTGAAAATATGATAAGCTAGAAATAATGTATTGATATGATAAACTATTTGAAATTCTCTATTGTTGTGACAAGTAACACATAAAACCCAGATCAGCAACCATCCTGTGTTCCAGTCCTTTGCCTAGTATGTATTAGGAAGATCAATTTTAGTGTTTCTTAAACATCATCCAAAGGACCAATGAGCTTGTACCATATTACAATGTCTCATCTGTCAACTACCAGGTAAGGAGATTTTGACTACCTGGTAAATTTGGTCTGAAGCATCCTTAGGGAGGAGAAACAAATTTGGATAAACAGTGGGTCTCTGCCCCCTTTGGTCGGGAGGGACAGGGCCCAATAGGAGGAATAAAGCAAAGTATTTAAAATCCTGTAGCTTTCTATTCTCACAGATGTTGTCTGAGGTATGGTGAAGCGTATAAACAATGGGCTTCAGTTACATTGGGATGGGGCCATGTTGGAGCAAATTGTTTAAAATAATTCTTCTATTGAAATGACTCTCTTTTGTCCAAAATTGATCCAAAACATCCTTGTGTTTGGTATAAACAGTTAATCTGATCCTCCATGGAGAAGATTGACAGGGCATTCAAGTCTTTTTGATACCTTTCCTTTAGTTTAAATGAAGCAATTTCAGTAAACTAAACTAGGTGAGCAATATAGCCTCATGTAATTTCTATCTATTATCAAAATCAATGATAAATAGTATGTTTGAATATGGGAATTTGTCAGGGTTTTCCATAATTTTGTTAGTAGCAGGCTGTTTAGTGAAAGTAGGAGGCTGGCCTGCCGTGTACGTGTAGTCGTGTACGGAACATTATTACGGAAATGGATTGGTGTAGACGGCCAAATGATCATCAAAGTAGCCGGTCAAATTGGCTGGCGACCGGCTCTTATGGAAAACCCAGATTTGTAATCAATTGCTTGATCACTTGATGTAATTATTTCAATTACTTAGATCACCACAGCATTACTGTAGGTTACTAATTGATTGATACTTTAGCAATATAACATAGTTTCTATAACAATTGTCATCTGAATTTGTTCATTCAGTCTCAGAAAATACTAGATTAATGGAATATTGTTGTTTGTAACGTGGTCAGTACAGTTATTAAGTGCTACATAGGATTTTCCTAAATTTCATTATTAGGATGGTTTGTTCACCTCCTAAGTATGTGCACAGAGATTTCTATGATAATCAGAGTTGGATGGTAATACATGTTGAGAATTTCCTTTCTACATATTTTAAAGAAGAATGTCAGGTGATCACTGAGGTTATTACCTAGACAAGTTCTTGTACATGTACAAAATGTTTAAAGTATTGCCAAATTTCTGAAGAACATGTGTATAACGAGACATTAATGGACAGATTTAATGATGAAGAAGACTGCCATCCTGTTTTCATTAGAAAAAAAGATCATTTGACCTTTGATTCTGTTGTAGACAGACTAGGTATTTATGTACTAAAATATGCATAAGATATATAATAATAATTTGATGTAAATGGAAATACGTTTTGTATTTGTGTTGTTGTGTTTACCTGTCTAGTGAAGGCTATTAAAGCCTTGAAATATTGTGTGTTATACTGACACAGGCACCTGTGAAGTTCTCAGAAACAGGGTATATAGGATATGTAGGAGTATAAGTTTGGCTAGTGCAAGGGAGTCAACTAATAATAGCGTATGAGGGCGTGTGTACACGTGATACTACTAAAAAGGAAAGTGATCAAGTTCAAAGTAAAGTGGGATAGTAAACATGTATATTGTTGAGATTTATGTAAATTTTTTTCGGCTCATTATCATCAGATTGTAGTCTGGTTAAAATCGCCCTTCATCCAGCATCCCTCTGGTGTCTGTCTTCAAATACTCCTTGTCATCACTATTTCTTGAATACTTCTGGATATATCTTTTTGAAATTTCATAAATAGATTCCCCCTTACTTAGTTTTGTTCTTTTCTGATTATGGGACCGTTGAAAGATAATCACTAAAAAAAAATAATAAATTGATCACTTTAAGATTTTATATAATTTAAAGCAAAACCAGGAGAAACTAGAAAAGAAGGGAAAAGATCTAACATTTAAGAGAACAAAAGAAGACTTGCGAAAATATTGGCCACCAATTAAGTCCTCTGGCATCTCTTACTTTTTTTTGTTTTTTGTTTATTTGTTGGTTTTTTTTTCGTATCATTATTTTTTGATTCCATGTAGTTGGAGTAGTTAGTGTTAGTTAATGGATGATGATAGCCTTTTAAGTACCTCATCAGGAATGGACAGTCATAGAGCAGCAAGCATGCCATTGAAATGCTGTACTAGTGTCTTAAAGTATCTCAAATGATAAATCAGATTTATAAAAAAGAAGGAAAATAACATGGAGAAAGTTGTTTTTATAAAACCAGTTTGTTCCTAAAAATGGTACAGTTTTGTACTTGTTCTGTCATGTCATAAAAACTTTTAACTTTTAATGATTATCAGTAAAATAAGCATTTAAAAAGAAAAATGAAAATTCAAAAAGATTATTATATTGAAATTTAAAACATGATATAAAATTATGTATACTTTGTTGTAAATGGTATAGGAGTAAAATTCTCACTGAATTTTATTGTGAATTCCTCTTTTCAGGTTCCGTCCAGTTATTGTGAAAGAATGCATACATAATGCTCTAAGCGACCATTTAACGGGGAAGAATTATGATGCTGAGGAGACAATAGAATGGACCAAAGTTATTGCAGATGATATTAAACAGAGGTTAAAAGGTCAGTTTTTCTATGTTAAGTTTTTTTATTATTTATACAACTATATTGTTAAACTGTACTCATATTTATCCTGTTAGGTACTGTCAAATTATTTCTACTGATCCCTATATCAAGGGATCATTTCGAGGCAAGGTCTCTTTGTATTAATTCTGGCTACCTCGCTGAACAACGTATGGGAGGCATATCACATGGCATTCAGAGAGATAAGGGTAAAGACTCTTTCACAACATCATGGGGACATCATAGTATGCACCTGGGATCTTCAGTTGAGATTTTCAAATTCAACTGAAATCTCAAAAATTTGGGCATATAGAACATTAATTTAGTTTACTATATTTGTAAAAAAGCTATTAGTGTTATTAATTAATCATGTTGGCTCAGATGGAAGCATGTAAGGGGTCTTATTGTTGGAGGTAATGGGAGTATGCGGAGAAAACTCATTAGGTTGGGCTGGTGATCCCTATATATCTTGACCTGTCCATTCAGAATTTAACCCAGGACATCTAGGTGATAGCGAGTATGTTACCACTGCCCAACCACCGACCAATGATATGGTCACATATATATGACATTTTAGTTTGAATTCCAACTGATAAATACATGTATCTTATATATTTTAGAAATCTTTCATTTATTTTACCTGAGTTCTAGTTAAAGGTAGCTTGTCCGATATTAAACTAGAAGTTTTGGTCTGATTTTTACACTGAAACATTTGTCTTCTGGTTTTACAATTTAGCTTGAAATCTTGAATTTTGATATCAGAAATATAGCACCACACATGTAGCACAAGTGATAATGATGTAATAACTGAGTTCTGGTCTTCACAGCTTGAAGGGATGCTTGCTGATGTGTTTCATCTCTGCTTTCCTGAGATTTTTTTCGTGACTCTCCTGTATCTCTACACAAAGTTTCTTCAACTGTTCTACATAGAACACCCATTTAACCAAGAGACATCGTGTGCTGTAGATCTGGCGGTTACCATGGGGTGACTGGGTAACCCAGCTAAATCATAGTTATATTACATTCATATATCTTATCTGCAAGCTGAATATTGAAATACGCCCTTCCCCGTCCACACTCAAATCTCTATCCCGTTTGTGTTTGGACTAAAGAAGTAACACATGTATGTCCATATAAATTTGTTCTGTTACAATCTAAAACATGCCTTTTATATTGCAAATGTAATTCAACTGTTATGTTGGTCAAAACATACCTCGATAGCTTGTCATGTATAGCTATAATGATGATAGAATATAGGTAACTTCTGTACTGGTTACAGGTTTTTTCATAACTTAAATGCAGATATTTTTAAGTATCGTGATGTCTTTCATATATCAAATCTTTAGTTGATAATCTGACAAGGCAGATAATTTTTAATCTACCATCATCCAAAGATGGCCTTTTCAATTATTGTATTGTCTGTGGTCCATCCAAACAAGGATGTCAAAATAGCTCATTTCTGTAGAGCATGATGGAACTTAAGGTAAAGTTCGCAGGTGTGTGGTTAGATCTGTCCACACTTGGGGCAGTGTATGTTTCTCTAGAAGCAGAGGTCACAGCCATGCTCTGACAACACACCCATAGACTGTCATGAATAGCATTTGGAAGGCCTCTCACAATGTGTTCGATGACGTATAGCCATAAACTACTACAAGAGACCCACCTCATAATGGTTATCCTTACCGGTTGTTGAAATCCAGGTTTTGTAGAAAAAAAAACATTCTCTTGAATTGATAAATTTATCATAAGTTTAACTCAATAGTCAATTGAAGTATGTATCCAGCATTACAGAATGATAGAGGAAAGATTCATGAACAAGACAGCTATCTTAGTAAATGTTCAGATTAGAAAGAAAAAAAAAGGGATTTATAATATAAGAAAGATTCAGCTTTGCAGATGTTCAAATTTACAAGACCATGTGTATGTAAAGGTCAAGTTTCAAGTTTGTAAACACTAAGTAATATGTCTTGCTGTAAGAACTGATTAAACTTCTGAATTCAAGCTGTACAGAAAAACACATGACAGTTCTGTATTTTCTGCTCATGGTAGTAGAGATAAAGACATGCCTCTGATCATATCCGCAATTTTTTTTATTTGCAGATGTTATTTCCAACATAAACATAGATAATATGACTTGACATTGTATGTAGCAAAACCCTGTGATAGTTGTACATGTTGATCTTAATAACACATGTTTACAGATGTTTTGGGGGTTTTCTTTGTGTATTTACTCAACTTAATAGTTTTATGAAAGTTTTTTCTGTATTTTTGTTTTTGACTGCTGATGATATTTTGTATTGAAGCTTGTTTGCTGGGTTTATCACCAATGAACAGCCACGGTTAATTTGAGATAGGGTCTCTATGTAGAACCTGATGGCTACCTCAGTGAACAACATAAGAGAGGTCTGTCACATTCCATCTGAAACAATTAGGGTAAAGTGCTTTGTCCAAGGACAAACCATGACAGCACAATATTATCTGATACTCAGTCTCCTGAGAAACGAAAATCGGCCACAGGTAGAGAGCATGGAATCCACATTTGGGATTTTCGCCTGAGGTTGATTAGGTCAATTTTCTACTCACTGAGCTATGGCTGACCCCAGTATTAAGGAGAAATGTATATATCTGCACAAGATTTCGAGGTTTAAATGTAAAGAACATTATGATCAAAGACAATATAGAAAATGGTAGATATAATGTATCTGTATTCACTTTGAGTTTATAATAAAGTGAGAGGATACAACCTTATATTCATCTGTCTGGGCAATATTTGGGTGTTTATGGACCCTCTGTATGTATTTGTTTGCATTAATCATCAAGTGATCTGTCTGTAATCCGATAATCTATCCAACGGTGGGCATTATTCGTCTGTTTGTTTGTCTGTAGGTGTGATATTGCATTATACGATTTCAGCTTCCATATCACATCCTACAGACGGTGCCTGCTATCATCACATGCACAACACATCAAACAGATTCGTCACATGTAGTTGTAAGATTTCGTGATGCCTTTCTAAGTTTTTCCTGACATTGTTTAGATGCAGTGCATACATACAAGCCTCTCTCTCTTTCTTGTGGTCTTGTGTTTCTTTATAATGATGCTGCATTTTCTACTCGTGTTTATCAAAAGCTGACTCCTGTATCTGTTTGGTGTTAGATTGAATGCAACAGGAAGTTTTTATCCTTACGTAAAATGGGGAATGTAGCCATGGATAACATGTAAATAAGAGATGTTTTCGAGTGATTCTTCAGCATCAAACATTATCCTCTTTTTTTTACACTTATAAACATGTTCAACTTATCATTTTCATTTCTGATTAAAATTTTCTGGCATCTTTCACTCAAAAGCCTCTTAAAGTAATACTTAAAAATATTACCTTCAATGAAATTTTTTTTTTATGATTTTTATAAATCTTTATTTATGGTTAGAAAGTGTGGCAAGATGTGTTATGAGTGGGCTACTTGACAATATCACCATCATTCACATTGACTATTCACTTGTAGATAGAAAAAACTCTGACAGCTTTCTTGTGAGGCCTCTTGTAAGCAAGTGGATAATTCCTGTTTGATGTAGATTGGTTTTGGATGAGGATGGAATCATTTTATTTGTCAGGAATGTTATGTTGAAGAAAACAGTGTTTCTACACTCTTTAAAGTGTCAATATCGTTTACCTTTACATATGTAGTTAAAAATCTGTGTAAAATGATTTTTGTTTCCAATTTTATTCAGTAAAAGCTTTTTTTAATCATTATTGATATTAAACTTGGAGCAGAAAACAAATAAATTTCATATTTGCTTGATCACGAAAAAGTGAAAATGGTTGATTAAATTCTTTAGCTTAATCCTTTTAAATGCTGTGATTTACATATAAAGTACATAATGGCAATTTACCAAAATACTTTGTTGGAAAACCTACCTAAATTACACATACTATGTGTCTGGATATAACTGGAGATGTAAACATAAAAGGCCAACAAGGCAAATAAACTTGATTATCGCTAACGTTTTCAAGCCGTGTCTCGGCTATTTTCAGGCGATTACTTTAATGTCTTGGTAACAACATTATGACGTAATATAAGCAATAATATATAAGGGGAGATAATAACGTTATTAATATTTTTAAGGCGTAACGACACTAAAAACTGGAGATGTATATGATCACCATATTTCTATTTTGAGTAAAAGATTCAAATATGATAATTATTTATTCATTTGATACTCTTAACATTTCTTATTCACTCAATTTCTTTGTTAATATCTTTTCAAAGATATGGTTTATAATATGCATCATTTGCAGGTTTTTTCATCATTGTTTCATGTGTTAGTGATTTGTTTAATATTTGTTTTGTTTTTGTTTACTAGCTTTCTTATCTGATTTAATAATGTACATGTTTATCTACTTCACTAGTACACTAGAAAGCTCATCAGTATCTACATACATACCATATATTGTACATATCTTGGACATTATGTATCACTGTATATTACGAACACAACATATTGAACAGTCACAATGAGATATACTTAATCATAAGGAATTTATCTATCAGTGTCTTTCAGTAAGAGTATATAGTTCAGACTGTAGAAAATCAGACTCGGGTGAAAATCAAAGAGATGTATCTCAGTTACTACCAAGGATTTGTGTTTTTCAAGATGCATCAGATCTTGCGCAGTTTTGGTTGTGTTCATATTGGACAAAACGCTGTACCAGAATTGCTCCTGAAAGAATGTACTGGGTTGTCTTTATATTGTTAAGTGAAGTAGCCATGGATATGCCTCAAAATAAGCTCGGCTGTTTAGTGTTGATAAGGCAATAAACAAAGCAAAATAATTAATATATTCCAATGTATCAAATGCAAACAAGGTAAGGTCAAGGTCACTGTCAAACAAACTGATTTGCTTATGGTCATTCATGGTTTCAAATTAAAAAAAAAAATTATGGTGCTTTAAATGTAATCTAGCAATGATAAAGGCTAATACTAGTACTGTATGTACAATAA